CACACACACACACAGAGAGAGCAGTGCAACTGGATCTTAAATATGCATGCATGATCAAGTCATTATTTGAGTGCTTGTGCTGTTGCTTACATCAGGTCCAGGTTTCCCTCTGCCTCCTCTCCCTCCTGGCTCACCCGGCTGGCCTGGGTCCCCCTACGCAGAAAACTATTTTTCAGTGGAAGTCATTTTTATCCATAATGTGTTTTTATTACTTCTTTGCAAGTCATATTCTTATTGGTTTCTGCCTCTGTTTAACTTCAATAATATTGTGGTAATTCTGCAGAAGACTCAAAATATGTGTTGATTTCTTAAGACCTAAGTACTCTTCGGATGCCATGCATGAATCAACTAAATTGTGCAATCACAATGTTAACTGTGGTTTACATATCCAACATCAAGAAATATCCCTCCTCACAGGTCCAGCTGGTGTAACATTATCTCTTGGGAGTGTTGGTATGTGTCCAGATGAGGAACTGCACAGGGTACAATATCTAGTAACTTCACAGCCTTGTTCTTAAGCTAAATTCACACATTTTAGCTTGTTGTGAATGGAGCAGGTTAAGACGTGGGGTCTCCTTTGGCCGTTTTCCGTGTCACAACTTACCCACCTTTGCTGCTTTATGAAAGACTTAAGAATTAAGAGAATGGCTGTGGATATACCTTTCAGAGCCTAATTTTGAGTATGCTCAGAGCTATTAATTGGAGTGCCAGGAGACTTCAGGTAGAGCTGGTGATCCTTTCAATCAAGATTATTTAAGCAAATGACTCATCACAGCTGTAGTTTTATCTTTTCTAAAGTCTCTAAATAAAAAGAAGAAGCTTGAACCTGCAGTGAGGAATGTAAAAGTTTTTTAAAATAATTGAATTTTGAAAAGAAAATGTGCCATGAAACAAATTATGAAATATAGCAACACTACAAACAATATTTGTTTATTTATTGCAATAAAAATATAGGAAATTGAAAACAATTTTCAAGCTTTTGCAAACATGAAGTCTCATATAATATATGTGGTGAATACTTGAAAAGAATTGAATAAAACTAATTAATTCTACCTTTTGGCTAAACAGAAGTCACTATAGTGATGACACATATGTTTGATTCCAGTGAATATACATTACACATGTACTTGATTAACAAAGATAGATTCTCATAGAGAATAGCTATACAAAATTTGGTAATGTATATTCTCATTGTCACTCACTGCAGAATAAGTCAAAGTGACAAAGGGTTATTTTTGCAAGTAACCTCTAATAGTAGCCTAAAGAGGAAGCGTTTTCTTTGGAACTACTTTTTACTAAAGAAACAATCCCAATGGAAAGTGGTCTGGGCATTATCTACTGAGTACCAGGGACATTGTTTTTGTAAAGTTGTGTTCCTTTTAAGGTTTAAAAACTAATTCTTCAATACTATAACAACCAAAGTCCATTCAGTTTACTTATATTAGATATTTAGGGGGTTGGGCAAATACAATAAAGGCTATTTGCATGGCTAGATACCATAAGTGGTAAGTGATAAAATCTGTTTTTTACAATTTGGGCGACCATGCCGTTTAAATTCTTTGAGTAAGATGTACGGCATACATTTTAAGGTGTCCAGAGGAATCCTGTGCACCGCAACTACATGTTTTATTGATTTTATTGATCTACAGGTTCCTGGTCAAAACACTGTTACTCTGATTGAAACCAAAATTACCCTTGAGTCCAACATTTTGTTATTAATCTTACAGGCTTTCCTATGGGTCCTTTGTTTCCAGGATCTCCTTTGGCGCCACATTCTCCTCTGCCCCCCCTGGGTCCTCTTTTACCTGGATCACCTCTGTCTCCCTGGAAAGAGCAGAGTCACTTAAGACTCAAGTATGCAAGATATGCGAACATTTTGTGAATTAAATGGAAAACCGTACAGTGGGTCCTCTCGATCCAGCATAGTTGAATCCTTGTCTTCCTTTGTCACCCTTTGGAAGAAAGAAAGATAGCATCAATCAACAAATGTTATAGTGTTTTACATGATGAAAGTGAAAAAAGTTTGACCCACCTTTGGTCCAGGGAGCCCAGAGTCTCCCCTAGGTCCAGGATCTCCAGGATTTCCCGTAGTGCCCTACAACCACAGAAGAAACTTTGAATGAAAACTGTATAATCTAGCATGTATTTCAGACACATATTTCCATTTTTATGCAGTTAGTGATGATTATGATGTTATAAACAACACACATTTGCTCCGGGGCCCCCTGGTTCTCCTGGCTGACCCCTTGGGCCCGGTAGTCCTTGATCACCCTGGAGGAGACAGAAAGTAACAGAGAAAACATCATTATTGGACATCACCTTCACTCCAGCCCACACACAGTTATCATGCTGATGTGAATTTGGCAATGTATAGTACTGGACACATTTTTTAAAAGAAAAAAAAAAAAGCAATTTCCCTGGAAAAAGTGTTTTTATGATAAAAGGCTCAGCTTCGGCTATTTTGGCTGGACTCCCAGTACATAAGGGCAAAACTCCAGTATTGGAGGTCTAAAGGAAGACTTGCTGAGTGCTTAGGAAGCTGCTGAGTCATCCCACTGCCACAATACACCCACAGTATAATCCCCTCACCTTTGCGCCCTTGAGTCCGTCTTCCCCGGGCCGACCTCTGATTCCCAGTGGCCCCCGTTCTCCCTGGAAAAATAAATTAATGTGTCAGGATTCACACAACAGCATTAATCATTTTCCTGAGAAGAAGGTTGTGAAATGCCCTATAGAAACACAGAGCCGAAATTATACTGAGCAAGGAAGTGTATGATCTTTCTCTGGAAAAAATGCCTGCAGAGAGACTTAAACCCACGGGCTGCGTCTCTCACACTGTTTAAATCTCTTGTTAGGTCAACAGAATCCGCTGCAATTTGTCAGGATTTCACAAGAACTTGTTCTTTGGCTTTCAGATCACCGGCTTTGTTTCCCACCATGTTTGTCTACATATGTTTTTTTTTTTTTTTTCAACACATTACACGAGTTGAGTCAGATTTCAAATGAAATTCTGTAGAATTGTATATTCTGCAACTTTGCCAGGCTGGTCTTTGGAATGAGAAAGTCAACAATTAAAGCAGAGGTTTGACAAAGACCAGACCTCAACCCTCTTAGTTTATTTGCTTAGTTTAAATCCCCAATGCCTATGGTACCATGATTATGTTCTTTTATCCCATAGATACTTAACAACTGAGCCAAGACAGCTCTTGTATTGCTGTTTGACATAATTTCAGACTACAGTAAATACAATAAAGAAACATTTATTAGTTTCTAACACAGAACTCAAAACAGTCAAAACTAACTAAATCAGACACATTTAAGCTACTCTAAGTGATGAAATAGTGAACTAGTGTAATGTGTTTTACTCCCATTAGTTTAGCCTTGCCGGAACCGTTTGGAGTCGCCCCTGGGGAGGCCCGCCTCCTACTTTGAAAACATCTGGATTAAAGTACCGTATACAACTTTCTCTGAGCGCTAAACTTACCTTCTCTCCTTTTGTCCCATCAGGACCTGATTCTCCCTTTATTCCAGGGTCTCCTCTCCTTCCCTGTTAATATTTATTTAATGATAATTAATCATCTATGGCAAATTCTCAAAATGTATATGTAATATTGTTTTTTAATGTTTGTTTGAAATACCGGTTCGCCTTTTGGTCCAGGTCCTCCAGGAACCCCCTGCAACAGTTAAATTTAATTTCAGAGTCATCATTATAACATTAGAAGTATATAACAGAAGTAATTACATGTTGTCGTGTACCGAAGGTCCTTTTTCTCCTGGTAGCCCTGGATTTCCAGGATTTCCTGGTTCACCCTAAAAACAGAGATTTTGTTTTGTGATTTTGTTTTTAAGTAAATGAGTTTTAATGATGTAATGATAATATAATAATGTAATAATGATAATGTTTTAATTTAAAGTTTACCTTTGGTCCGTCATTACCAGGTGGGCCAGTAGGACCTGACTTTCCAGGCAGGCCTGAGTCACCCTAAACAAACAGACGAACATACAGACATTAAATAATGCACATTTGAAATGTCTAAAAGTCTACGGGCCCCGTAGAACAACGTTCTATCCTGTTATGAACTGTGTGGGCCACAGAAAATTTTGACCTATTGTTTATACAAGAGGAAAACCAAAGAACGCTGGGAACCAATTTCATGGGAATACGTCCAAACGTTGGCTTATATTAGAATAAGGGATATAAACAATGATGCTGTTTAAAAACTGTGAATACTGTTTAATATCTTTAGCCACAGTGTCGGTTCAGTCAGTCCACCATATTGTTCCAGACTGAAACGTCTCAACAACTACGGAATGATTTGCTGTAAAGGTTCGTACAGACGTTCATGATCCCAAGAAGATGAAACTTAATGACTTTGGTGACTTTTCCTTGTTAGGTTGGAGCTTCACAACACAAAGTCTAGAGGAAATGTAATGTGGATAACAGAAGCTTTGGGTTAACATGAAAATGAATATTTTGAAAAATAAATTTTGTTAGAGTCCAGTTTTGTTTCTAGTAACAGTAATATGAGTACTTGGTACAGTTTCGTTCAGGTGTCTAACCTTAAAAAAAAAAGAAAGGAAACATGTTGGGTGCCATTACTTAAATCACTACCATAGCAGGCATTTCCAGCATCAACATGCCTACCAACACCAACCTTGTCTTAACCCCGAGCTGAAGCATCCCGTCTCATCTGTGTCTTTGTCTTTCTCTGCTGAGTGTCCACACAGTTGTTCTGACTTTACCTAATAATCCGCTGCTCTCTTCAACTGTGTGCCGAATTAATAACTCCCTTTCTGTTTATAGTTTTAATTTATATTATCTAATATATTTAGAGTTTTAACTCAACAGTGCACTTTGTTTAATAAATAAAGAAGTAAACCATTGCATGAATCCCCACATGGCCTAATTTACGGCCACTAGCGGGTTCAGTGAACCCCCTGAACCAACGCAAGCTGAGCCTGCGTCGTAAGGTCAACATTTTAATTTGTTTAATACTTTGCTTTGTGGCTTGAATACCTGTAAATCTTTCCAGACAGCCACATCTTAATAGCTTGGTGCTCATTAGCAATTTTAGCTGTATTAAGATGGTGTACATATTAAACATTGTGAGCGCATTAGCATGCTGATATTAGGATTCAGCTGAAAGCACTGCTGAGTCTACAGCCACAGAGCTGCTGCAGTAGCATGGCTGCAGACGCTGATACGTTATACTATATATAACTAAATATATCTTAGTTTTGATTTAATACAAACCTTTTCTCCGTTGTCACCTGGTTGCCCGGTCTCACCAACATCTCCAGGGTGGCCATCTGGTCCCTTTCAGAGACAAAAACAAAATGATTCAGTAAACTAATCCTTACATCTATATGGCAGATTGTAAATTTAACCACCCACGTGCATTATTTCATCTAAATATGACTGAATAAGATAATAGAATTGGCCATATTGGGGTAGACTGATTATCTATTTATTTTGATGTAAAATGTTTGTGTTCTATCAGTATCTCCAGAATTTTTTTTATTTATTGTTGAGGCCTAAAATGCCAGATTTTTTCTAAAAAATTGCAATGCATGTTGCAATGTTTTTAGGCATTTTTTTCAATAAAATTTAGGAGAAAGTGAAAATTGTATAATTAATTTAAGAAATTGAAGGCAACTTGTTCCGCTGAGAATAAATAATTAGTAGTTTGGTGACATATTAAACATATATTAAATCATTGGTTTATCTTATATCTTATTAGCTTTGAGAAGCAGGTTCTTGGTATCGGCTAAGACTATATCCATATAGTGTCATTTAATGACAAGCTTTCTCACCTTATACCACATTTAATATTTGGTATTAGCAGCTAATCTGCATGACAGTGAATACCAGCGCCTTGAGAGCAACATGTGAAAGATAATGAACTAGACTTACCTTGTCGCCTGGATCACCTTTGCAACCAGGAGTTCCAATTCTGCCAATTTTACCCTGAAGATTTCCCAGAGACAATTACATCCAATCAGTATACTGAACATATTAGAGTCATTGCATACTGTTCATTTTACTTTTATTTCTACATTTTTATTCACCTTTTGACCGTCAGTTCCATTCCTGCCAGATGCTCCTTCCACACCCTGAGTATTTGGAAGTCAGTGAAGACAGAAAATTAACTAGAGTATGCAAACAGTGTTGGATGAAGTATAATATAATAACAAGTAAGCTAACACGACATTAAAACCATTATTTACCTTTGCTCCAGATGTTCCGACCTCACCCTGTTGAGGTAAAGTAGAGCCATTAATCCCGACAACATTTCACTCAACTGATGAGCAGAAAAGCAAGAATATAAGATATATCGCTCACCTTGTCACCTTTCAAACCAGTCTCTCCCTATATCAGAGCACAGAAGGACATGTTAGTGTTAGTAAATAAAATGACAGCTTAATTTACTATGTAGCACGCAAAATCATCAATCAGCGAGCCTCAACAAACCTTTGAACCGGGTCGTCCGATTGGACCTTCAATGCCAGGATCACCCTGTAATATAATAAATAATATTTAACATTAAAATGATACAATATTGTTTTTACACAATTTCAAGTTTAATAATGTTATTTTCTACCTACCGGTCTACCTTTAGCACCTTTTGGCCCAAAACCACCTCTGTCTCCTTTTAGACCCTAGAAATAAGCAGAAATACTAACATTTCAACAAAACAATCTTTGGTGTAATCAGAAATTTATAGCATTTAGATATTTTTATATACTTTATATACTTTCAATACTCACTTTTGGACCTCGATGCCCTCTTGGTCCAGGGGGCCCATCACTCTCAAAGCATGGATGTTTATAACACTACAAGGAGGAAAAACAATGTAAATGTGTAAATGTGATACATAAAAAAACACAGAAAACAGGAGACATATGGCACAATTCTTAAAAGCATAAACGTACCGAAACCCCTTTTTATTTGCTAGTCTTGTTAATAACATACACATAATATTGTTTAGTCTTTTTTTACCTGTAAATATGCTTGATATTTCTGTAAAGAAAAAAACAACAATGAGTGAAAAATGCCTGATAGTTTTTACTGTAATTTATATCTGAATTCAAACATAAGAAAAGGACACAAATTTCCGATCACCATGGCTTTTATGATTCGATCGATGTGATTAGTATTTAGTTTTGGTCTTCCGTCAACAATCTCCACAGCCGTGTAGTTGTCTCTGTACAGTTCATGGGGAGAGCTGGCTATCTCACTCATCCCTACTTCATCGATTAACCTGGACGCTGCCACTGAGAAAATATGGATCCCTTGCTCTCGGGCCTTCTCCGCCATCGCCTTTATCCCTCCACACGGACTTCCTGTCACATGCCCGTCGGTGAGGACCACAGAGAAGAGGACGGGCTTCGTCCCTGAGTAGTGGTGGGTCAATTGGTTGGTCATGGCTTTGAGTGCACAGTCGGTGAAGGTGCCTTTGCCTTTATATATAATCAGACTGAGGTTCCTGATGAAGTTCTCCTTGGTTGTGAACTGACTGAAGACATCATTTGTCTGGGAGAAGTTCAGGCCTCCTATAGACCAGCTGATATGGACCTGCCCCTTGTAATCCTCATCAGCCAGCTTCTGGACAAAGATCTTGGTGAACTCCTTAATGTTTTCCACCATGATCCCAGGTGGGGACTCCTGTAAGGCGATGGTCTCTGAGGTGTCGATGGTGAAAAACAGCTTGATGGGACATTCAATTATTCCGGCTAGAGGAGAGAACGTTGACAACCGTGTAAACATCTTTAATGCTTGTGTTTCACTATAAATTACAAATAGAATATATGCAGCGGTGGAAATTAACTACATTTACTCAAATACTGTACTTAAGTAAATATTTGAGGTATTTATATGCATTTATACTTCTACTCCACTACATGTCAGAGATTAATGTTTGACTTTTTCCTCCACAACATTTATCTGAC